CAGAGACGGCTGCCTCCAGCAAGCAGTGAAACTCTTGTGGACAGGCAACCATGCTCTCAGCTCCCTTGGGACACATCCGCACCATAGACCTGAGCCGATAGACAAGCACCATACTGCTTCATTCTCCCCTTCTCCTCCCCTACCTGCAGCTGCTGACAGACAATTTAGCCACCACCCAGAGGGATCCACTGGAATGGACCTTTCCTCTTGGAACCCTACAGCTGACTGTTACTTGGACTGTGATCTTTCTACCCACTGGCCCTCCCTGGCGCTGATTGGTGATTCCAGAGCAGGGCAAATGCCAGGACACAGGGACATTGATCCAGCTTGGGCACCCGTGGGTGACTTGAGACCAGCATTCTTCCTCCTGGTAGGGTCAGGGATTAATCTATAGGGATCAGCGGATAGGCCAGCAGGCCAGAGCCTGTACACCCAGGTCTTGATTGCATTGCCTGGGGGCATAGATGGGATATTTGTGAAGTAGTCTACTGAGGTGTGTGTGCCTTCAGGGCCAGATTGCAGTGTGTCCTAGCTGCAGAGTGTGAGGGGCAACCTTCCTCCCATAGGACAGCCATGCTCCCAGGTCAGGTCATGATCCTGGACAACACAGTCAGGGCAGGTCTGCTGGCTTGAGGTCCTGAATGCTGGCAGAGGCCCAGGAAAAACCACAGAATAGGGAAGGCTGGGAGGGAGCAACCTGCTCTAGACTGGCCGACTGCAGGTCTCAGAAAGTGCCACCTCTACACGCAGACTTTCCAGTTGAGTGAGGCCATTTCAGCCCCTCCCTGGCAGCTTTGCCCAGATGCAGAGAACAGACCTTTGAACCCTGCTAAAAGCATTTTTGGACCTTGAGGGCAGGCTCACCCAACCCAGTCCTGCCAGCCTCACTCCCACACCTCACCCTGCTGAGATGGAGAATAAGGACACACCTAGAAGTTCCAGAATCCCACTCACCATCTGAAGAACTAGAGTGCCTCTCCAGAGGAAAGAGAGCTTGGTTACAGAACACAAAAACAACATTGCAGCTTGCTCCTTCCACAAGCACCACCTACTGCAGGGAGGTCAATTTGCATGCCCTTTTGCTACATTTACTGACTCATCATTCAGGATATGGCCGAATCTCACCCACAAGAACCTCCTACTAGCTGAGAGACTAAACTGGGCATGACATTATCTAAATGAAAATCCAAAGGTAAGAAGCAATATCTGCTCCAGATGGGAAGGAATCAGCAAAGGAATACTGGAAGTATGAAGAATCAAGCTGAAAGGGCACCCCCAAAAGGGAACACCTTCTGTCTAGCAATGGATATCAACCAAAAATAGAACACTGAAATGACAGAAGAAGAATTTCAAACATGGATTACAGGAAAATTCAATGATATGCAAGAGAAAATGAATATACAATACAAATGAACCACAAGAAAGAAAGAAAAAACAAAACATGGACTTAGAAGAAAAATTCACTAAATAAATCGTAATATTAAAGAAGAATGAAACAAAACTTTAAGTAATGAAGAATTTATTCAAGTAATTACAAACCACAGTGGAAAGCCCCAAGAATAGGCTAGATCAAACAGAAGAAACATCTCAGGGATTGAAGATAACACCTTTCAATTAAACAAGTCAGTCACAGACATAAAGTAGAGAAATAAGAGAAAAGAGCAAAGTCTGCCAGAAATGTGGGATTATATGAAGAGGCCTAACATCATAATAATAGGCATCCCTGAGGGCAAAGAAGAAATTACACAAGGGTTGGATAAACTATTTGACAATATAATGGAGGACAATTTCCCTGGCCTTGCTAGAAATCTAGAAAGGTACAAGAAGATCAAAGGAATCCTGGGAGATTGATTGCAAACAGGAAGACACCATGACACATTGTCATCAGACTGGCCAAAATAAACACAAAAGAGGCCCTCCTATGGGCTGTAAGGCGAAAGAAGCAGGTAACCTACAAAGGAAAAACATCGGACTAACTGCAGCCTTCTCAACTGAGACCTTACATGCCAGAACAGACTGGGGCCCCATTCTCACTCTTCTCAAACAGAATAATGTCAAGCCTAGAATGTTGTGTCCTGCAAAACTAAGTTTCTTCTACAAAGGAGAAATAAAGACCTCCTCAGACAAGCAAAGACTGAGGAAATTCATCAAGAGAAGACCTGCCCTCCAGGAATTACTCAGAACAGTGTTACACATGGATAGCAAAATATGCACTCACCAGTGTAAAATCGTCCAAACGGTAAAGGTCAAAGTCCAGATACTACAATGGCTCAAGAGAGAAAACAAAGTAACAAAGTTTAACTCAACAGGATGAACAGATATCTGCTCCAGTTACCAATTCTTTCAATAAATGTGAACTGCCCACTAAAGAGACATAGGCTGGCAGAATGGATAAATATACACAAGCCAACTATCTGCTGTCTTCAGGAAACACATCTAACCCACAAGGATGCATTCAGACTCCAGGTGAAGGGATGGAAAAAAATATTCCATGTAAATGGAAGCCAAAAGAAAGCTGGCGTAGCACTTCTGATTACAGATAACTTAATATTCAACAACAGTAATGAAAGATAAAGATGGTCACTATATAATGGTGAAGGGTACAATTCAACAAGAAGACATAATGATTCTAAATATTTATGCATCTAACTCAGGTGCACCCAGATTCATAAACCAAACCCTACTTCATCTAAACAAACTGATAAACAGCACCACTGAAATAGCAAGAAATTTCAACACCTCTGACAGAACAGGACAGATCCTCCAAACAGAAAATAAAGAAACAATGGACTTAAATGGAACTCTAGAACAGATGGGCCTGACAGTTAAAGAACATTCTACACAAAAACCACTGAATATACTTTTTTCTCATCAGCTCATGGGCCATTCTCTAAGATTGCCCATACCTCTGTAATATGCTGAAATAAATAAATAATAATAAAAAAAACCTTAGAGGCCAGAAGTCTGTGGGTTGAGATATTCAAAGTCATGGAAGGAAAAAAAAAGCCTTGCAACTAACAACCCTATATCCAATAAGCTGCTTCAAAAATGAGGGAGAAATTAAGATATTGCCAGATAACCAAAAGCTAAGCACCACAAGATCTGCCTGCAATGAAGGGAGTCCTTCCGCTTTATAAGAAAGGACACTAGACAGGAATTCAAGTGTTAAGAAGAAATACAGACCTCCAGTAAAGGTAAATACATGGGCAATTATAAAATCTAGTACTATTTTTGTTTTGTACATGATTTAATAGACTAATGTATCAAAAAATCCTATGATTAGTTGATGTTTTTTGGATGTGCAATGCATACGCATGTAATCTGGTGATGCCAATAATTAGGCAAGAGAAAGAAATAAAAGGCACTCAAATTGAAAAGGAAGATGTAAAGTTATCAGTTTGCAAAAGACATGATCCCATATGTACAAAACATTTAAGATTCCACAAATGAACTGTAAGAACTAAAGCAAATTTAGCAAAATATAGGGCATATGGAATCTCAGAGGACACTAAATAAACAAAAAAATCTTGAGAAAGAACAAACTTGGAGGTCTTACACATCCTGTATTCAAAACTCATTACAAGCTCCAGTAATCAAAACAGGGTGGCCCTGGCATGGACAGACTTACAGAGCAATGGAGTATAACAGTGAGCCTAGAAATAACCATCATGGATGGTTAAATGTTTTCCGACAAGGGTGCCAGGACCATCCAGTGGGGAAAGGACAGTCTCTTCAGCAAATGGTGCTGGGACAACTGAACATCCACATGCAAGAGAATGAAGTTGGACGCTGACATAACACCATACACAAAAATTAACTCACAACAAATTGAAGATCTAAATGCTAAGGGCTAAATCTATAAAACTCCTAAAAGAAAACATAGGAAGAAAGCTTGTGACAATGGGTTTGGCATTGATTTTTTTAGATATAACACTGAAAGCACAGGCTACAAATTAAAAGTAGATAACTAGACTATATCAAAATCTAAAAGTCCTGTGTATCCAAAGACACAGCAAATCCAAAGGCAACATATGGAATGGGAGACAATACTTGCAAATCATATACCTGATAAAGGGTTCACATCCAGAATATGTACAGAACTCCTACATGTTGACAACAACAAAATAACCTAATTAAACAATGGGCAAAAGACTTAAATAGATATATCTTCAAAGGTGATATACAAATGGCCACATGCTCATGAAAAGATGATCAGCATCTAGTTATCAGAGTAACTCAAATTAAAACCACAATGGAAAATCATTTTCCACTCCTTAGGTTGGCTACCATCCAAACAACAACAGAAAACAATAAGTGTTGGTAGCCAGGTGCCATGACTCACACCTGTAATCCTAGTACTCTTGGAGGCCAAGGTGGGAGGATCTCTCAAGGAAAGGAGTTCGAGACCAGGCTGAGCAAGAATGAGACCCTGTCTTTATTGAAAATAGAAAAAAACATTATTGGGACAATTAAAAATAGAAACAACAACAAAAAAATTAGCTCCACATGGTGGTGAGCACATGCAGTCCCAGCTGCTCAGGAGGCTGAGGCAAGAGGATCTCTTAAGGCCAGAAGTTTTATGTTGCTGTGAGCTAGGCTGACACCAGCACACTTTAGCCAGGGCAACAGAAGCGATATTCTGTCTCAAAAAAAAGTGTCAGTGAAGATGCGAAGGAATTGGAACTCTCGTGCAATGGTGGAGCAAATGTACAATGGTGTCACTGCTATTGAAAATAGTATGGTGGTTCCTCAGAAAATTAAACAGAATTACTATGTGATCCAGCAATCCCACCTGTGAGTACTATACCCAATAGCATTGAAAGCACAATCTCAAAGAGGTATTTGTCCACTCACATTCATAGCAGTGTTATTCACAAGAGCCGAAAGGTGGAAGTAACCAGTGATGAATCGATAAACCAAATGTGGTCTATACATACAGTGGACTGTTATTCAGCCATAAAAAGGAAGGAGATTCTGTTGTATGCTACCACATGGGTGAACCTGGAGGACATTGTGCTGAGTGAATAAGCCAGTCACAAAAGGTAAATACTGTCTAATTCTACTTATATGACGTATGCAGAGTAGTCAAATTCATGGAGACAGAAAGTAGGAGGGCGGTTGCTGGGGAGCATGGAGATGAGGGAGTTATTGTTTATGGGTACAGAGTTGCAGTTTATGAGATGAGTTGTGTAGATAAATGGTGGTGATGCTTGCACAACAATGTGAGTATACTTCACGACACTGAACTGTACATATAAAAATTCAAAGGCGGGAGGTTTGTTCTATGTGTATTTTATGAGAATCAAAATAAATAAGGTTTTAAAATTTTAATTAAAACATTGATGGAAAATAAAGGCGGGGATATAGGACAACTGTTAGTAGCAGTTTCAATTGATGGAACAACTTTGAGAAAGATATTTGGCAGTAATGATGCATGCCCCATGGCCTAGGAGTCTCACTTTTAGGGACAGAAATGCCTAAGTGTGTCCCCCAAAAGGAACATGCACAGATGTTCTCAGTAGCCCTGTGGATCAGAGCTCCAAACTGGAAAGAACCAAAGTGTGCATAGTAGCATGGGTTTATCTATTGCTCTGTATTCACACAACAGCATAATATATAGAAATGTGGATAAAGGATGTATAGTGTTCAACAAATGAGGAATCTCATGAACAATATTGAGCTGAGGGAGCCAGATACAGAAGAGTTTATTCTCTGTGATTCCCTTTATAGAAACTACAGCATCAAGCAAAATTGAGCTGTGCTGATAGAAGTCAGGGTAGTGGTTTCCTTGGGGCAGGTGCTACACATCACATGGGTCTCCAGCAGATTTTGGGTTGTCAAGAATCTGTTTCTTAATCTGGGTACGGGATATAGGATGTGTTCAATATGTGGGAAAAAATTATTGTCAATTTTATATCAATGTGAATTATAGTGAAATTAAAATTTTTTAATTTAAAAATATCAGATTGCATATCAAGCCCAGGATGAAAGGACCCTCAACCTGTTGTGCCTTCCCCAGCTAAAGCAAGTTCACAGTGACCATGTGGTACTCGTCGTCTGGAGAGGCTGCCACCGGGCTCTAAGCAGTGCATTGGCATCAGGGTGACAGCCAAGGCCTAGGTCTCCACCACGTGCCTGGTGAGCTACAAACAGGGCCACAGCCACCTGAGTGCCAGGATCACCATTGCTGCCTACCTGCCCCTCAAGGTCAGCCAGGGGCCCTGCCCTTCACCACCAACCCTGCCCACTCCTTCCCTGATGTAAATTACTTTCTCTGACAAATCTGTATGAAAATCCAATTGTTCAGACTGGCTGCACAACAAAATGCACAAAAATGCTTGATGAATTGTATATATGAAAACACCATGTGTAACCACAATCCAGATCAAAATATTTAACATTTTCAGCACCTGAGAGATTCTACCATGCTTCCTCCTAGCCACAACCTCCCCATACCCAAAAGTAATAATGATCCTGATTTCTACCCTCATGGATTAGCTCTACCTGTTCCTAAACTCTGTGTAAGTGGAACAATACAAGATGTACCTTCTTGTATCTTTTGTGTGTGTGAGACTCATCCATGTTGTTACACGCAGCTGTAGTTTGTTCCATTTCATTGCTGTGCAGTGTTCCATTCCTTGCAAATGTTACCACTGATGTTTCCATTGCTTTGCTTTGGTCATTACATGCGCACTTTTTGAAACAAATAGACTTTATTTATTTAGAGCGGTTACAGGTGCACAGCAAAATTGAGCTATGTGAAAGTCCAGAGTTCCCATATGTCCCCTCCTGGCAGAAACACACAACCTCCTCCCTTACCAATATCTCCCACCAGAGAGGTACATTTGTTACACTCAATGAACCTACACTGACACATCTTTCTCAGCCAAACTGACTCCTTTAGCATTAGGGAATCCTCTGTCATAAATCCCTGATAACTTTTGTCACTCTGAACTCTGCTGTGATACTTGCTTTCTTTTGATTAGTGTTAGCATGATGGATTTTCATCCATCCATTTCCTTTTCATCTGATGTATCTTTATATTGAAAGTGGGTTCCTGGTAGACAACATGCAGTCGGGTCTTGTTTTTTGACACACTCTGACAATCTTTGTCCTCTATTTTAACCATTGACATTTAAAGTAATTATTGATTGAGTTGGAGCAGTATCTACTACATATGTTACTGTTTTCTTTCTATTGTCCTGGTTCTTTGTTTTTATTTCTGAATTCCCTTCCTCTTCTGCCTTTTGAAGTTTTAATTAATCATTTTTATATGATTTCATTTTTTCTCTTTTCTTAAGGGACTTTTTTAAACTTTTAGTTTTTTTTTTTCTAGAGTTTGCAACTAATCCAAGTCAACTTTCAAATAACACTGTCCCCCTTCACAGGTGGTACAAGTATCTTATAATAAAAAATATTCCTATTTCTTTCTTCCTGTCCCTTGTATCATTGCTGTCATTCATTTCGTGTAGACATAAGCATACACACACACACACACACACATACACACACACACACACATCTACTTAAATTGAATGGATGTTGATACTATTATTTTGAAGGAAATTATCTGTTAGGTCAATTAAGAAAAATAAAAGGTTTAATTTTTCCTTTACTTATTCCTTCTCTGAAGCTCTCCTTTTCTTTATTGATCCCAGTTTCTGCCCAAAACAAAAGAAGAAAACTACAAACAAATATCCATTGGGAAGATGGATGCAAAAATGCTCAATAAAATCCTAGTAAACTGAATTCAGGTTTCATTAAATTCATTAAAACAATAATCCATCATGACCAAGTGGGCTTCATCCCAGAGATGCAGGGATGTTTCAACATTGACATATCTATAAATGTAATTCGCCACAGAAATAGAAGTGTGTCTGCAGGAGTGTGAGTCAACCTGGAAGGTCCTCTGAAGCCATGTCACACTAAAGGAACCAGAACTTCTTACAACAGAGGGAGAAGAGGTCTCAAATTCCTCACTTCAAGTCCCACCTCTGCCACTTCCTGGTAGAGTCTCCCGAGGATATCGCTCAGCATCCCTGAGCCATGTTCTTCAACAAGGAAAGTGGAGTTTGAGAACAACCACAGAAACCATCTAGGGACTGCTGTGGGACTACCTCAGGCAGAGGAAGTGAGGCACTTGACTCACATAGAATGCCAATTGGCTTAGGGACCTAGAGAGTGAAGCTGGGTCTCCCAGCTAGTCCTACGGTCATCTCCCAACTCAGATTATGCAGGTATGGACTGGACTTCCTAGAAGGCAGTGAGCTCCCTATCACCAGAGGTATTCAAACCAGATTTAGATCTGCACCTTCCAAACCGGGAGCCACGAGCCACACAAGTGATTGAAATGTCACTAGTCTGAACTGTGATGTGCTATGAGTGTAATAGAAACTCAAGATTTCGAAGAATCATTGCAGAAAATAAATGTAAAGCAGCTCAGAATTTTATATTGATTACATAATGAAATGATACTATTTGGCATAAATTAGATTAAATAAAATATCTTATTAAATTTAATGTCATCTCTTTTTACCTTTTTGATGTGACAACTAGGAAATGTTATGTTCCATGTGTGGCTTGTGTTACACAATCTTTCAATTGGACAGCCCAGTCGAAATCCTGGGTGTGTTCAGTGTGGTTCCGGCACCGGTAACATCGGCCGCATCACCTGGGAACTGACTAGAAATGCAGACTGTCAGGTGCTGCCCCAGCCCCACACATGGAATCAGAAGCTGCATTTCCACACACTCCCATGTGACTCGTGTACACACTAAAGGTTGAGAAGCCCTGCAGAGACCTTGACGTTGGCTGGAGGTCTCAGAGGGGATCCCATCTTAAGGCAGAGGAGGTGGGAACACCTGGCCCGAAGCCCAGCCCACAGCATGTGAGATATTAAGTAATTGATGTCTTTATCCCATAGTCACACACTCAGCACACAGTGTCCTTTAAACCCAGCTGTCTCACCAGGAAACATCTGCATACTTGAAAGAGAAGAGGGCAGCTTTGTAAGGGATTAGGCTCTTTGCTTAGAAGTGAGCACTACCACAGACTACACCAACAGCTGCCCTGTAACCTTTTACAGGCTGGGATATAATCTCAGAAAACAACTTAAAAATAGCTCTGCATCTTTAAAAACAAAACAACAAACAAACAAACAAGCAAAAAACCCACAAAATTTAACCAACTCCCCGCCCCCTAATTCCTCCTTTTTCTCTCTGAAAACTTGGCCGGCAAGCATTAAATGGCACTAGACATAGAAATGGTGAGGAAGTAAATCACTGAGAGGTGCCACATGTCACCTTATGGCTGAGCTGTAAACCACTGAGAGCGAGCAGCTGACTTCAAATGCTGACAGCCTCCCCGCTGTGAAGCAGCCAGGAGGGACCAGGCCCAGGAGCCCACCCCCATCAAGGGGGTGCAGGGAGGTGGTGCCTTTTCAAAGGCAGATCAGCCCAGGTTCAGTGTCCTCCATCAGTGTGCAGGACACAGCCAAACCCAAACCCATGCTCCCCAACATACCTGTCTGTGACCTCCTCTCCTCCCTGAGAGCCACGCTGGCCTCTTTGCCTCCAGGCTCTTGAACTAGCCATTCCCTCCCACTCAAATGCAATTCCCCAGGTAGTCTACTTCCTTGCTGCCTGTTCAAAACTCACCTTCTCAGACAGGCCTCTCCTGACCACCCAAAATAAAGTGCCTCCTCCTGCCATTTCTGCCTTCTTATCTTGCTTTGTTTTTTCATCCTAGCATTTATTACCCTATGACAATCGATTCTACATACATTCTATTATTTGTCATATGCCTTCCCCCAGAATGTCAGCTCTATAAAGGCAAGTACCATGTCTAATCCCGGAGCCTAAAACAGTACCAGACACATAAGTAGGATCTTAATAAATATTTGTTGAATAAATGAATGCATGGATTTCCAACCCTTTCATTAAGCTGATGTGATGTTCTCACTGGGAAGATGTCCTACTTTCTAGCAATGACCTCAGCTTTTCACTCATCCATTCACCCAACCATCCTTCCAAATAACTTTTCATGCATTGCAGGCAGGCTGAGGGGAGGTCAGCTACTTCTCTCCAAGAAAAATTGGGTCCCTTAGGTAGAGGTCGTCACAAAGGATAAGAAAATAATAGGAAATAGAATTATGGAAATAAAAGAATACACAGAGACGAAGGTATAGTTTTATAGATTTATATAAAGAAATTAGGATAAAGCGAGGGTCCTCAGGGGTCCCCACTACAACCCCATCAGTAGTGAAGCCACGAACAAAGTTTCACACAGGTTTTATAATTACAGATATCAGTTATCAGTTGCCAGGGGCAACAGATCTACATAATAACAGATAGTTTGGTTGCCAGGAGTAACAGATTCACACAACAGGTAGTTCGGGTTCCAGGAGTAACAGATTCACATACTAACAGGTAGTTGGGTTTGGATTTAAAGTTTTTGCAAAGGGCTTCCAAAAATTCCCAATCTATTTTATCTATGTGAATAAACGGTTACAAAATCTTTCAAAGACTAACTTCTAAGTTCTAAGAGATAGCTAGCATTTAACAGAGGAGCAATATAGAGATATAGTGGCTCCATATTTCCTCCATCTAGTTATTGTGGAGTGAGACAGACAACAGCAAGCATGAGGCTCAGCTTTTCATGCTAAGTTGCTCATAGCCACAGGCGTTTGTCTCTGAGCTGGGCACTCATTGTTCTGGCTTCTATCCTGTGACGCCATGCATATATACCTGCCTTGTCTTTCAAGGACAAGGAGATGTCATAGGTTTGAGATATCAGAAGCCATCTTGGAACACATCTGCTACCAGAGTTTTGAGAGCCCTCCCAAGGTGAGGCAGCCCTTGATATGCAAACTAATGAGTTCACATATTCCTTCAGGGCAAAGTCCTGCAAAACTCCTGAAATCATCTCTGTCTTTAAAATAGCAACATCGGGCGACACAATAAAACAATAATCCCATGAGCCACATCTCATTAATTTCTCAATCATCTTTCCTTAACAATGCATCCATCCATCCATTCATCCATCCATCCAACTAGCCAAGTATACATGCAAACGGCTGCTAATATCTATTTATCTAACCATCCATCCATCCATTCATCCCTATAACCATTCATTCAACCACCCTTCCAAATACTATATTTCTACATTTCCAATATCTGTCCAGTACCCATCCATCCTACAACTCAGCCATCCAGCCATCGAAACCAATCCAATTGTTCGATCTCCTCTTCTGGGGCCCACAGTCCCTGCACTTTCCTCTACCAAATCCAGTTCATGCTGTCACGTTTACATGCAGTAATTCACTCTTCTCCCTCCATCAACAGAATGTGAGCCCCTCACAAGCAGAATCTGTGTCTTATATATCTCTTATTTCCATGCCTAAAACAGAGCTGACATATACTAAGTGCCAGCAAATGTCTGCTGAATGAATATGTTTTTCCTTTTGTTTACTTGCTCAGCAATTCCTCCTAGACTGCCATGATACCATGTTTTGGTCATCTGTTGGTCTCTAAAATCTTGCACCTGACACAAAGAAGACACTATAAATACTTCATGAATGAATGAGTGAATGAATGCTCAAAAGAGAGAAGGATAGCAGAAGCATAGACTCTTGGAGCCAGCCTGCATGGATTCATAGCCTGCCTCTGTACTTATTAGATATGTGACCTTGGGTGAGTCACTGAGCCTCTCTGTGCCTCAGTTTCCTGATTTTTAAAAGGGACATAATAGTGCTTACCTCACTGGGTTCTTCTGAGAATCTTAGGAATCAATACACATGAAGTACTTAGAATAGTGCCTAGTGTAAGAAAAAGCTATATACATGCTTCAGAATAAAATATTGGTTTACTGCTAGCCCATTGGAACAGAATTAAGAAGGTGGGAAGGAAGCTTCTGTCTGAGCCTGTGCTGTCACACAGAAGGCCTTCCACAGCAAACACTCTGACTTTTCCCAGCCACACTGGGATTACTTGGCAAACTACCAATAATATGCCAGGCGATCATGAGTGCTATGTAGAAAAATAAAACACGGGGGACAACAGGAAGTGGTGAGACAGATGGGAGGGCAACTTCAAACATCGTGGTCAGGAAAGGCTTCCTTAAGAGGTGATGTTTGAGCACAGAAATGAGGAGGTGAGGGGTGAATGTCTGCGAGGAGAGCATCCAGGCAGAGGGGATGGCAAGTGCAAAGGCCCCGAAGCAAGGACATAGCCAGTGTGTGTGAGGAACTCTTGAGGAGGCCCATATGGGTGGGACAGTGAAGGAAGGGGAAGAAGTGGCATGGGACCCAGGTCACACAGGGCCCTGTTGGCCACTTGGGCTTTGCTCTGAGTGAGATGGGAGCCACTGTGAGGTTATGAGCAGAGGGGGACAAGAGTGAACCTATATTTGAAAAGACTGCAGGGGGCCAAGTGCGGCCAGGCTGGTGTGCTACTGCAGGGAAAGGACGCTGGTGGATCAGACCCGGGATCGGGGGGGTTGTGGTACCACTGCAGGGAAGAGAAGATGGTGGCTTAAACCACGGGATTGGGGGTTCAGCTGGCATAGGGGCAGATGCTGGATAGATTTTGTAGTAGAACTGACATTGGATGTGGGGTGTGAAAGAAGAAGGGTCAAGGCCAAGGCCAAGGTTTTGACCTACACAACCGGAAGGACTGAG